GGATTAACTTTAAAAATTACGTAATGACCCCAATTATTTATCTAAAGATCAATTAAGTCTAATCATGATGTTGCCACTATATTAATTGGAAGTTTGTATGTGTAGCATGTATTACTATAAACTATGTGTAGGTATTGACACATTTTAATAGTTGGGATGGTTTCCACCATATTTTGGTATACTCTGTGTAGCTGGCAAATTTTTTTCCTTTATTTTTAACCAACACAAAACAACCAGATCCATATGCTGTTTGTTTGATTGCAGATATGTTTCGGCAAGTAAGGGGAATCAAGACCACTTACAACGATGAAAGCCAAAAGGGCCAATCAATCATGGTCAACCTAAGAGTAGAGAGCTACGTACGTACCAACTGGACCACCTTAGCTATGTTGATCGGTTTGAAACTGCTAGCGGTTTGCTTCCAAAGTTCTTAAATAGCACAACATCGCCACTTTGCAGGGGCACAAATGTCTGCTTCAATGTTTTCAACAACCTCGCAAACAAATTTGATGAGAAATTGGTACTCACGGGTAATGAGCATAAGGTCATAGCAACAAACATAAACCTGAAGTTACTTGGAGGTACAACTTCCCCCAGTAACTTTTATCATTTCATATTTTCAAGTTGTGAACAACTGTAACTGCTAATTTGTTTTCTGAATTTTCCCAGGTCGACTCTTCCTAAATGCTACTTCATTACACATTTTTATTTTGGCAAAGAGTGTCTCGCTAGCCAAAGCTTCTTGGATGCGTTAGCTTTTCAACAGCTCACGTTAACGTATTTTAATTTCCAGTCCCATGAACTAAACATTACTCATGGACATTGCTAGGGATGTTGGTTCTTCCTGAGCCTCAACCAAGTATGGCGGTGTCCAGAATCTGGAATTTGTTACAGTTGCAGAGTTTAATGCGTATGTCCTAAACTCAGAGTCACAGATGCAAACTCAACTCTTCTCATACATTACTTTTACTTCTCATCTATATAGGTTAATGATTCCTATGTCAAGCAACCACTGCACTTTGGTAGTTCATCATGTTGTAGATGCTGAAGAAAACTTCAAGGAGATTTCTTATCATTTACATGTGTAACATGTAAGAAGGAGTTGAGGTTGCGTCTGTAGCTACTGTGATGTCTCCGGAAAACTTAGTTCTTTAACTTACTGAGCTAATGTGATGGCTGATCACCACTACTACTCCTTTTTCTTTTGGCTTTTTAAATGTCCACGACTACATTTTAAACCCTCCACTGTTGGATTTATTTTTATTTTTATAATAGCCTTTGTGAGGGCCTTGCTTATGAATCAAGTTAGACAACCTAACTTACAGCGTTGAATACACATTTATCTTCCAAATTTTGTAAACTCAGAAAAATCACATTCAGTCATCAGCCTCCAAATCTTTCTCTGTCCATGGTCTGAAATATGCTCTGTTAACTTCCCTGCAACAAGCAAACCTCAGACTTAGCGCAAACCATCTCTTCCCAAGTGCACATGGACATACTAAAACGTATACTTTCACACTTTCACGCACCAAGTGCACATGGACATACTAAAACGTATACTTTCACACTTTCACGCACCAGACTATCTACATTTTTCCATTCTTTTTCAAAAGAACCTATCAACAACTCCAACAGACATGTTTCTTAGAAAAGGATCATCATCAATAGAGTTTTTTACACATGACATTTGCTTTCTGAGATAAGTTTTTACCAACTTCTGTTAATTATACGAACACATGTAAAACTTAATCGATTTCCAAATTTCTACTACCATGCTTCTCCACTGAAACTTCCATTAAAGAGGCGTGAAAACAAAACTATTTCAATCAGTTTGTTTATGCCAACTTTGCTTTGTACATCCTTATGGTTGCTTCATCACAGTTTCTCTGACTTGGAGCAAGTCACCAAACCTTAACCATAGAAAGAACTGCAGTAAAATAGTAAATTTTATCATTTCATGGGGTGAAATGGAAGCATTTTTGACATCTCCAGGTTAGAAGCAAGAATCCAAAGCGAGTAATAACCTTACGATTCCAAATATAAAAATGATCCCAAAGGAAACACCGATAAAGTCTGAAAAGTTTATGGAAAAAACAATAGTGGTCACATATTTGATTGAAGAAAACAATGATAAAATTAAATTTCATTTATTGTATCTACTTTCTAAAGTGATATGTAGTCTTACACTACCAAATTTAATATAATGATTAGCGATTTTTAACATTTAAGGAACAAATCTGTATGAGAAAATTATTAAAACAAGTTTTGTTGTTTAGTGAAATGTTGATGCTTTAAAAGTAATTATCAACACATATAATCTCAATTTATTATAACCAGAATCTTAAAACTTAACATTAAATATATTCATATATGTACAACAAATCTTTATGAGTTGGCTATACACTAAATAATCTATAAATATTTGAAAATAGTTAGCCACTTCAAATATTTTGAAGATTATAATATAAACCTTGAACTAGAAAAGAACTAAACTAACTATTATAAAAATTATTAGCATGTGAATATTTATGTTTTGCGTTTATAAGAAGAAAATAGACCGTGAAAATACACAACACCTTTATCTTTGAAACAAAAATATACACAACACACAAAAAAAAATCTTAAAATATTATTGAAAACCACACTTATAAAAAAAAGTTAGAGAACAAGAAAACCTTACTAATAAAAAAAGTCACCTTTTGTTTTCATATGTCACTCATCTTATGAATTTAAATTATAATATTAAATTAGGACAAGTTTTAATAAATCAGAATCATAGATGACTTTACCTACGTATGAGACAACTTATGTTTACACAAAGTCATTGATCAATGCAGCGGAAATGAAAAGTATGCCCGCGAGTAAGAGAGCATAGATAGGTTCCATTGTTACAAATTTTTTTCTTCTATAGTTGAAGTCCTGTTACTTCCCCCACAATTGGTGATGGACCTCCAATCTATAGTTGTTTATCTGCATTTCATGCAGAATTTTGTTTCCGAAAATATATATTTATCAATTATTTTCATGATTTGATTATATTTATTACTTATTTAATTTTTTTTTAATTTATCATTTTTCTGTTGAAATTTGTTTTGTGATATGACATTCAGCTTCATTTTAGTTTAGGTTAACCAAAATTCATAATTGAAAAAGATTTAATGAAGATATTTTCATTTAACGGTATAGATTGTTTTATCTATTTTTTTAATTAGACCACAGTTGAGATAATTTTATTTATATTCTCTTTATGCTTCTCTGATCATCTATATTGTATCTTGATTGCACTATAAATATATATATATATATATATATATATAATATCCATATGAATATTTGATTTATGGTTGAAGATTTATTTAAAACTGAAGAAGTAAAGTTTTTTATTTTACAAATTAATATACAATTACTTTAAATTGTGTCCAGTTGCAGTGTCATCATTGGTTTGTAAGGTTGGTTTGACAAAGGTTGAACCCTTTTGAATGTTACCATCATACAGAAGACCCTTACTATCAACGGGAAGATTATATTCTACATATAGATTTTGTTTCAATCCTTTGGAATCAAAATAAAATTACAAAAGATTCAAACTTATCATAACACATTATTATGATTTAATATTATGGTAGATTATTTCTGGATCCACCAATATCACTAAAAAATCTTCAAAGGAAGTTGATGAAGAAGGAGATTGTTGATTCTTCCTTTTTCTCAAGATTTGTGTTTGTTCTCCTTGAACATATGCTAGAATATTTGGATGACGAAAGTTCTCGATTCCAAGAATTTCTTGCTCGGTATAGGAAAATCAAAGACAAAGAAACTCATTTCTCACTTCACAACGCCTTAATTTGATCATTTGTGGGAGAAGTACACTGATGATAATGATACCTAAAAATGAATTTATGTCATTTTTTTTTTTTTAAATGTTGTAATAATATTTTCGTTTTAAAACAATCATTTAGATTTAATCTATACTATTATATAAGAAGTAAAATTGCTTAGTTGTCAACTTCTCATTGATTTTAGGTAAATTTGTTTATTTATCTTATTTAAATAATTCCATATACAATTTATTATTTAATAAAAACGAATTTCTATTAATAATATTATACTTTTCGAAAATAAGATAATTCTTATGTATTATATTGTTATCTTTAAAATATTTTTTTATGATAGAAGTTAAAAACTAAGTTAAAATATTAATAGTTAAATATAAAGAAAGCAATTCTGATTTATCAACTTCTCCATGGTTTTATACTTTGCTTATTTATCATATTTTAATAATTTCATATATAATTTATTAAATAATAAAACGAATGTATATAATAATACTAGATTTAAAAAAATAAGATAATTCTTATGTATTAGATTATTATCTTGAACATATATTTTCTATTAGAAAATTTAAGTGAATTATCTGATTTGTGTTTTCTCAATGATTTAGATAATTTTGATTATTTGTCATATGTTTAATAATTTCATATAAAATTTATTATAAAATAAAAACAAATTTCTATTAAAAATTATATTTGAGAAAATAAGATACTTCTTATGTATTATATTGTTATCTTGAAAATATATATATTTTTATTATAGAAATAAAAAATTAAGATAGAAAAAATTATAATTAAAATAAATTAAAACAACATATCTGTAAAAATATATTTTTAAAAATATTTTGTTATGTGAATGTTGTCAATTATAATTAATTTTAAAACATAAATCATAACTTATTATATTGGTTTGAATTAATAAAATATAGACTAATAATAAATCGTACGAAAATTATGCCCGCATGTGCGGGAAAAACACATAGTAATATTGTAATTCTATTGTGTTATTACTGGAATATTAAATATAAAGA